GTTTCCTACTCATGTCTCTGATGATGAATCCGCGACGGATGTCGAAACGTCAGGCGAATAAATGTATTGTTCGAGCGATCGAGTTGTCTTCTTCTCAATTACTTCCTGGGACTCGCTCAGCGATCGGGTCTTCTTCTTCTCAATTCCCTCCTGGGACATGCATGTTCGCTTGTATTAGCAGAATATGTTTTGATTAAACTAAATTCGAGAGGCTTATGTAAAAATAGGTATATGAACCGGGCAAAGACCCTGAGTACACTTAGAGTACTCATTTGTAATCTTCAAACTCATCGCTATAGGAGTAAATGGTTACCTCTTTCATGTAGATTGCAATAACCAGTGTCATCATTAAGGCCAGCGTGACGTAGGTTATTCTCAGACGCAGATGGCTCAGACCGGTCTTATACGCACGATACTTGCCATGCATATTGCAAATGTAGGGAGTAGTCCAGCGTGTTATCGCGCGATTGGTCATTCTGAGATCAAAAAAGAGGAGGATGCGGAGCATGTTATTAGCAAGAATAATGAATTTTTTAACGTAAAAACACTTTCTCCTTCAAAGACTGTACATAGGACTTCGAATAGTCAGGTCGAGAAGAGAGTATACATTCGCTGACATAAAACCGGGAGAAAGCAGGGTTTTTAAGTTGCAAGAGGAAAATGAGGTTGGTAGTAAAATCACAATGTTTGAACAGAGAACAGCAGCTCCCAGTTTCTCCAAATAGAAGACTTGCTGGCTTATACATCTGAAATTGTCCTCTTAGACCTCTTTATCATTTTTAAGCACCCCTCATGCAGAATTTCTGTTAAATTTTCGAATTTGCGATTGAGCAGCCCCTGTGCGGCTGCTAGCGTAGCAGAGCGGGGCGAGTGAGTCTCCTTGGTGATCGATGAACGTTAATCCACAAATGTCAATATCTCCCGATGTAAACCGGCAGGACAATGAACGTTGGACTCTGATCGAAAAGGTCGCGGGTTCAAACCTCTGATGGGGCGCCATTTGGACTTCGGTGTGACTGGCTGCCAATGCTAGCAGGCATAGCTATCCCCAAATAGGACTGCTCAAAAGTCCCAACTGAGGTTTGAACTGCACCATGGGACGCGAGTTTGCTTGGCGGAAGACTTTTTGTGCTGGGGGAAGGGGGCCACAGAGAGGACGCGTGGGAAACTAGACGATCAACTGTGGAGACACACACAGCAGCAAAAACGGACAACTTCATCAGCTATCAAGGCTTTTATCGGGGTGTGCCTGCCACGTAGAGCTTAGGCACGCGGATTCACAGATGAGGATTGAGTGCCGCTTAGGATTAGAAGTAACGCTCGCCTGTATAGATCAGTATAGTTCAGTATATTTAGGGTAGTAGGTAGTGCCTTTGAAGACACTATTAAAAGCAGTATGCATATAATATCCAACATAAAATATGTTACCAGGAAATAGTGAGTAACATAAACACATGTATACTTTTTTATCTTTATGTGTGAGCAAAGCAATTGGTGCAACCTACTTCATCCTGCACGATGTATCTCCTAACACGAGCGGGTAGTTTAATGGTTAGTCTGTTTGAACTTACTTACTGTCTCTCTTGTCATTTTGGGTACCACCTTATGCTGAAAGCCCTACGCGACTGCCTACGAGGGTACTGGAGTGACTTCCGAGATAAAACGACACATACATGTTTCGTAACCGGATCGACAGACCATTCTACAATCAGATTCCCGATCGCATCCAAATAAACAACGGAGGCACTGCTCAATATTACAGTGTTGCACTCAGTGGCTAAAGTTCCCAATTTCGATTCCCAGGTGATCCACGCTCATCATTGGATATGACCGGCTGATGATAGCCACTAGGCCAGAAACGACCATTTGCGTCACCCCTCTCTTTGTAGGTACCACTCGTCACTATGTGACTGTCTGCGAGGGCAGACACAACGGAACGAGCGTATTCCATAACCAGATCTGTGAATGTCACTTCATCTTAATTGGGATTCCCAATGAAAGCCAATAGGAAAAGGGGCCCGGGGCTAAATGCTTAGGGCGTTGTACCCCGGGTTCGAATTTCAGATGTCTCAAGTTTTAGTCTTTGGCGACACAATTACCGGCATAAGTGCACACTCTCGTTCCCTAATCTGATCGGTGAATCAGCATTTATATTATCAGCTGTACTGACATTCAAAGAAGTAAGGCTTGGATAGAATCACCCACCTGTCTTCCTGTCCACACTCAGTACACTCAAGCATGCTGCAACAGTGACAGGTTTGCTTGCTGCCAGTGAGTTTTCTGCGTGGTTTTCCACAAAGCAGGCAAATTCGACGATCCTCCTTCTTCCTGTAGGGCTAAACGGAAAATGTGGACAGTGCAGTATGAAGTTTACAACAGTGAGAGTTCTAGGATATAAATCTCGGGACACCAGGTCGAGTTTTCTTTTCTGCTTGCGTTTCAAAGAGGTAGACCGGCTCTTCTTTGGTAAAACGTTGATTGCTACTATTGATCGGTGAACTGACTGTCTGCCGCGTTGACTACAGGCGACAATACGCTGCCGTGTAATGCAACTTAAGAACACATTGTCTTCTACTGAAACCTCCACAATTTTCTGCCAAAAAAGGATGCAATGATAGGGACTGCAATTACCTGGGCGATGCAGAGCAAAACTTGCAGACTCGCCTTCGCGAGCACAAATTGGTGTAGCAGAGTCTTCTTTTTCTCAATCGCTTCCTGGGACACGGATGTTCGCTTGTATTGGCAGGCGAATGAATATATTGTCCCAGCGATTGAGTCTTCTTCTCAATTGCTTCCTGGGACACGGATGTTCGCTTGTATTGGTAGGCGAATAAACATATTGTCCCAGTGATAGAGTCTTCTTCTTCACAAATTGGTGTCTCGGAAAGTAAAGCCAAATTCGCAAATTGTAATTCATATAAGCGAGACTGGTCACATGTTCGACATTAAAGCGGAGGCCATCGCAGGTCAAGGCACCTCAAAAGCGGATCGGCTGACACCTGTGGTATGTTGTTCCCATGCAAACTTCGGCTACAGGCATCTAGACCGTCCCACGGCCTACGAAGACCGGTACCACTACGTGAATGACGGCCAGCACAGGGTCACAGAACGCTCACGAAATGCTAGCGAAGATAGTTCCGCGAAGGTTCCACCAGAAAAAAAAGCAGGATTGTCCGCACCCTCCACCGTAGGGACAGAAACTCAGACGAATATGGTGTTGGTTCCAGTGGTGGCGTCAAATTTTTCTCATTTTTTTTCCTGTAACTCGCATTTTCACGTCTATTGGCAACAGGAATTACTTCCTAAAATGCCTGCATAGATTTCAAGCATAACCAAAGTCGGCTTTAACGTTAGTTCTATTGTGGGATTTTATTACTACTTATACATACTCAGTAGTATTTATTATTCGCATAATTTGCGCCTTCGACAGAGGACTCACCTTTAGGTAAACTCCTAGAACATCGTGATAGAGGATAGAGCTGCCGCCCAGAACAGAATTTGAGGCCGCCGTCACTGTTACGATGAGAATCAACAGAGCCGTGAGGACCATTCCCGAACGCCCAAAGACGAATACGGGCACAATGTAGGGCTTCATGTCTGTCGGATCGCAAACAGAAGGGAAGAGCCAGGTGCAGACGTAAAAATGTAAGGACGAATTATATCCCAGTTCTGTTCGAAAGGCAAACGTTTTTAGTATTTGCACCGTGGAGTTTTTTGCGGCGCTCCAAAGCCCTACTCGCGTCATTAACTCGGGCACCTGCAGAACCTGTCATCGTTTGAACATAGCTGTTTAAGTAATATGTATTTATGTCATCGATTTTGAATGCTCTCATGCATCAAAACATATCTTATCGAAAAAATATGCATAACGATGGACCGTAATATGATTGTCGAGCAGAAAATTAAATCTTCTGAAGATTTTTTTATCTTAAAAGCAGTACCCTTCGGTTTTAAAAGCAAGAAAGAAATTCGGGAAGGTGACGTTTGAAAGGGCTTGTTCCTGGCCACTTCGGAAACTGCAATCATCTAAAAACACTGTGAAAGTAGTATGCGTTTATGTCATAAATCTAAATATAGTATATTGAAAACATACACGACAAGGGACTTTTTTCTGCTTATGACTTCTTCTAAAAGCCATTTACTTTTTTCAGCTGGAGATACACCATCGTGCACCCTTTAAAACCAGCAGTACTAAATTGAAAAATATAATGTTTTATGAAGGAAGATTTCATGGTCTTATATATATATATATATATATCATGCTTCAAACTTTTAAAACCTAAAAACTAAGCTTTTTCAACTTTTAATTCATGAGATAACGTAATATGCTACCAAATAGCCAAAAGAAAGAATATTTTCGAGTATTCTCTATGAAATACGTTTGAACGTAAGTAAGTAGTCTCTTTTACGGAGTGCGATTACTGCATGTCGCCGGATAGAAGCTGGTCAAAATGCGTGAGAGATGCCTTCTCATTTATTGGCAGTTAGGCCTTTACACTTGCATATATGTTTATTGGAAGGTAACTTAAAGTAACAAGAAAACAAAACCGATATTGGCGGGAAAATTATGATAACTATGAGTCAGTTTTGTTTACAGGGCTGTTCAACTACTTGCCACTTGCCAGATTTCGCAGCAAGATATTTGTGGTAAAAATCAAATGAGCACAATGCATTTTGTTAGGGGATTCAAGTGTATTTAGGCTTTCCCGCTAGAACGACTCTGCTCTGCTGAGCACATCTAACGCCAGCGCCAGGAAGCCAGATAGCCGAGCAGTCATCACGCCCAAGTTCAACACGGATGATAGAAGTTCAGCAGGTCACGGTCCACATACTTGTACTTACTTGTACTCGATCCGATTAGCTCCTGCTGTTGGATGAATCGACTTCACGGATGTCACGGATAGCGGCGGCCCATTGGGGCTGCTCGGAAGCGAGCTCCTGGCAAAGGTTAACCCAGTGTTTGTTCTAGTGTTGCAAGCCGTAAATTGTTACGAGGCCCATTTGTTCGACGTCTGACTTGACAGTATTGAGCGAAGTCTTCGATTGACCGCCATGTCGGTATCTCCAGTTTGCACTGCGTGAGGGATTCACGGCCAATCTGCAGAGGTCCGCCGATGGTTTGCGCAGGACATGGCCAAATTAATGCAATCGGTGATGCCGGATGAATGATGCTAGACTTGGTAGTTTCAAACATCTGCGATGTAGCTCGACATTGGAAATTCGATCCTGTCAGAAGACTCTTAAGAGCCGTTGGAGACCCGCACGGTCAAAAACTTCGACCGATAGGATATCTGCCTTTCTCACTGGCCATGTTTCGCAGGCATATACTAAC